AGAACTTTACTGGCATTTAGAGTCAGAGGTTTGAAACACGTCTTGCCCTAAGAAACTTGGAACTCACTAGAATGATCTTCTAAAACTAAAGATGCTGCTGCCCTGTCAGCTTTGTTGTCATCTCTGAACACAAATATCTGAAACTTTCTCATCCATTTGCATGTTCCCACCAGGATTCTTGTGAAATGCTTTGGTCCACTGTGGGTAGCAAAGGTTTCAGTGATGCCACTTTTTTTTTTTCATGTAATTCATAACTAATTTTTGCTCTGTAATGTATATGAACTTTTTCTATGTCTTCACATCATTATGAGCAGAGCTTGATGTCCATATTAATTTTTAATTTTGGGGAAAAAAATCATTTCAGGGATCTGTTTCTAGAATTTATTCTAGTTTTTGTTGTTTTTTTTTTTTTTTAACATTCCTGACACTACTCATGTAGTTGATATACACAGGCTAACTTTTCTTAGACAAAGCCTGCTCTTTGAGTTGCCAGCTACAACAGAGAACAACTCCTGCATCTCTGAGTGCTGGAGGTCATGCAGATGGGCACAGCGTGGATCAGATAATGTGAAAACTTAGCTGGGGATTATCAGTAGAGCTGCCCACAATATTTGAAGAGGAGGTAATATTTGCAAGGGATACAATGGCCAAGAATATTGCTGTAGAAAAACAAGTTTTACTTTATGTAACCTCCATTATGCCAAACAAGGAATCTGACTTAGGACCAGATCCTGCTCCCTTTGAAGCAAGTGAAAACTTTCCATTTGCTTCATTGTGGAGGATCAGACCCAAAGGGAATCTAGTTTGTCTCTGTAAACAGGATGAAGAAGCAAAAGAAACATCCGAGGCAACTTGTAAGAATTTCCTGGCAGTGTAGGTACCAATAATTAACAAGTAAAAAACCCCTAATCCTTTGTACAAAACCATTTTGATCCAAATTTGCTTTCCTCTGTCCATGCTTACTTCTCATGCACTAGAAAGAGAATTGTGAAATGTTTGGCAAACAGAAAGGACTTTGGTCTAGATTCTGTGTTCTGTACGTGTGCGCTTTCTGCTTTGTAAACTTTATTCTGGAAGCACCGCTGGACTCAGCTAAAATGTGTCATCAAAGCAGATCCTAAACCTGACAGCTCTTACTAACTCTTTTGGAGCTTAATGAAGAAATAATTTACTGTAGAGCAACCCATAACTTCTGCACATCCTGCAACAGCAATACCTGGGGCAGGACTACATTCCATTGCATCCGATGGTGGACGAAGACCAGGTGTATTCAGGTGGCCAGGTCCTGGCATTTGTTTCTCTTATTTTCTATTTAAAAGAAAGTACTTCTCCATCGTTTCTGTGGCAAAATGCAGTATCAACAATATCCCTCACTGACAAAGGAGCTACTCATGAGAGTTTGAATAATACAGGCCATGAAATTCAGAAAGGAGAATTTTGTCCATCTATCTATTAGGTATCATAAGAAGCTATTTAGGTTGGGTATGATATCTCTGTGTCTCTATTTTTGGTCTGAGGAAGGGAAATAGAAAACAAGAAAACATTACTGTCAATAGCAACAAACCCCAAATTCAAGATATGTTTGCCCACAAGTTTCTTGCCTATTGTTTACTGCTACCAACTGCATGTCTCAAAGTTTTTCTCCTGTCTGACATGATATTTTTAGTAGTCAGTACGGGAAGTGTGATCTAGATAAGTTGTATTGAGGTGGGTGCATGGCTTATTGGGAAAAAAAAAGCCACATTGAAAGAGTAATTATTACAACACTGTGGCATCTGTGGCATTACTGCTCACAGAGCTGCATTTCTTACTGGCAGCCTCAGTGGAGAAACCAGAAGCTGAATGGGTTGTCATGATAGAATTGATATCCACAGATAAATTGATCATTAACAGATCATCTAGTAGTCATAGATCATCTAGTCCCTTGAAAATAGTATTGAAAAGTGTTCGTTCAAAAGTGTCAAGAAATTTACTTTAGTTTTCTCCATGATGTAGCCTCCACATAGTATCACTCCAGCAGTGCTAGAACTATCACAAGTGGAACAGATTTCTTTCAAGAGTAACAAGAGCAGACTTACAAGTTAGTTCAATTATGTCTCTTCTAAGACCTAAGTGCAGAGTGTTCTCAGGTTTTTGGGGCCTATCCCATGGCACGAATTACAGTTGTTTTCTACATAGACTTGCTTTTGTTTTTGTTAACTACAGAAAACAAATACATTGCAGGAAGACACTGAACTTTTAAGAGGCCGAAACTCTGTTACTTAAGCCTTTCTGTGGAGGTCTCTATTTTCCCAGCATTTTATTTGTTTGACAGCAGCCCAGGAAACATGAAACTGCTCTGCCTTCATACTGTGGTATCATCCACAGTAGCCACATTAAAACTGTGTGTCTTGAGACTTGCTCTGCCCATGTGTTCATTAAATATGGCCAGTGGAATGCATCAGATCATTCCTGGACATGCAGTGTTTGTTTTTAACATCTCTTTTCCCTGTCCTGTTTTAGTCACCATCACTGCCAAGAAAGGAGAATTGCAAGACGACAAAGATTTTTGTTGCAGTGTAGTTTGGCTGATATGGAATGTATCATTGGAGATCGCCACTCCACAACTAAGGCCTTTTCCTTCTGCATGTGGGCAAGGAGATCACCATGTTGTAAAATACAAACCTGTACATTTATCTAAACTCCCTTGTGCTAGCTGTGTAAACCAAATCCTGAGGTCTGTGATCTCTCCCTTCACTACTGCAATATCATCATCATTAGATGAAATGTAATAGGATCCAGGAAACTGGCCTTCCATAAGTGGGTTTTTTTTATTTGAAAGAAAGCTAAGGTGTAATGATTAAAGTGCGGAAACGAGGAGCAAGATAGCATGATCATCTTTACTCCAGACTTGTATGACCTGAGAGCTGATTCTTAAATTTTGCACACCTGAGGTCTCACACTTCTCTGATTAGTTCAAAATTGCAAAAACTAAGGAAGAATATGGAAATAACCTTCCAAAAATATCAGCAGAATGAGGATTAACTGCTCTCCATGATCACTAGGGGGAGGGGATAAGAAGGAATCACCTCAGTTTGCAGCAGAGGTTATTTAGGTAGGCACTGAGGAAGAGCTTTCACACTGTCATAATGGGAACAACTGCTGACAGTTGCCACTGAATCTCCTTCATCAGAGATTTTCAAAAGCTAGTTCAGTAAGCATTCACAAGCAAATGGCTTAGGTATGCTTGATTATACCTTAATGCAGAGACTCAGGCCAGCTCACTCATGGTGTTTTCCAGCCCTCCTGAAGGATTCTAGAGGTAGTTAAAGCTCTGGAAGGCTTTTCTTACTTCCTGCTGCGTTTGAGTCCCTTCTTAGGCAAAGACGTGCCAATATCTGTGCCTGTGCAAATGATGCGATGCATCCACCCTCTTGTCTCCTGGGACATGAGTCACTCATGAAGTGTGTATCACCTCCTGCCCCATGAAGTCACTGATGGCACAAAAAGATTCTATTCCTTTGTGACTGGTGGGAAAAGAAATCCAACTGTAGTTTACAATGGTTATGCCAGTAATATACACAATATTGTGTTTGCCTTTTCTGATGAGCAGTGTTTATTCTTCAACCATCTGTATTAATTTAGCATGTTACTCATCTGTTGGGTTTCATTATGTGCATATTTAACAGTTTGCAGTAAGGAGGATTCACTCTTTAAACAGCTTTTCTCCACACAGTTAGTATTAAGTGAGTCTATATCCGTAGTTAACGGAATCTGATAAAATCACCTAGTGCTAGAATACTATAGCTAAACCTTAGATTTATATCACAGATGGAACTAATTCAGAAATGATGTTGTAAGTATTGCAAGTCTCATACAGTCCTAATTATCTTACAATATCTACGTCTGAACCTAGAAAAGTTGATAGGAAGTCAGTGAGTATACATTCCAGAAGAAAATAAACCAAAATGTCAAGTGTACCATATATCTAAAGGGTCAGAAATTAGCTGAGGATGTGTTTCTTGAGTCTATTGAATCAGAGTGCACCTGGGACCTAAGTTCTCAGAGTTATTTTGGTTTTCAAACCCCCTTACAGAGACAGATAGCCTTCTGGAACCACTTGAGCCTTTGACTAGTTTAAAGAGGTTTGAATTCTCTCTGTTGTATGTGTTGAGGTGTACCTGGGTATTTGGCTAGCATCATTTCCCTGTGACTGTTGTTACAGTTCTTCTGTATAATACTTGGAGCTAAATCAAAAAGGAGACAGTAATTGCTCCCCCCGAATCACACCTGAGTATGCAGACAAACACAACTAGCATCTTCTGCACGGCCAGGGTCAAGGAGAGTTAAAAGTCTGAACAGGGGGTAGTCATACCCCTCTCATCCATGGAGGAGAAGAATCTTCCTCCAAGGTCTGACGTTTAAAATTTAAAAATCAAACTTATTTTAAGTGTAATGGATAAAAGAGGGGAGAGCAGAAATTATTTCCACTTCCTGAAGGTTGCTCTCTATGTAATGAAAGTAACAAACACACAGAAGGCTGAAAATCTAAAAGTAAAGGCTGAAACTCTAAGTACAACAGAACTGATCATGTCTCACAAACTCCGAATAACAGAGATTTGAGATCTGATGCTGAAATTCTGGTCAGGGCATTCTTTGCATCAAAGAGATTAGTTCAGTTCTGTGCAGGCATATACCTAGGAGATTTCATTCACTATATTTGGGATTGGACCTCTGTTCCAATTACAAAGCCCCTTCACAGTGCAGAGGTATTTTGAGTTCCAGAGTTTATAGAAGGACCCATCTCTAGCAATGCAATTAATACACATGGAACTGCAGCATGGGTTATAGGAATCTCTTCCCAGAGTGCTTTAAGTTTCACTAATGTGGATTAAGAGTGCTGCCCTTTTTTAGATGGGTTTAGGAAGGGTTGTACAGGATCATACACAAAATGTACAGTTAGGCTGAGAAAAGACAAGCAGGTAACACATCTAGTAAGTTGGTGAATGTCTAGAACTCACCACGTTCTCTATGACTCCCGTCCTGTTGGCCAGCTCGCATTCCTCTGCATGCCCATTGCAAAAGCAGCTTCCCCGGATGATCAGGTCATAAATAGCATAGTGGGCAAATCTCTGAGGTTTCTCTACCAGCCCTGAACCATGGCATGGGCATTCATTTAACAAAAGGAGGCGGAGGTTGGTGAGCTTCAGGAGATCTTGAGCCTCAAGACTATAGGGGTCTTCAATCTTGTTAGCTGGACTTAAGGCACGATAAATCACCTGAAAGACAGAAGAGTCATACGCAGGAATAGATGTGGACAGGAAACATTCCTGAATAATCTGCTTAAGCCGTTGTGGGGCTGTGATGGATCCCAAACAAGGGACTTGCCCTTGGCGTTCTTTGGCCCTGCCTTATAAGTGGTGGCAGTGTCTGTCTGACTAACACTGTTAGTGGAGTGAAGGCTTTGTTTCCATAGGGATTCCCTCTTTCTCTCTCTTTCTCTTTTTCTTTCTTTCTAATGAACTGGCCAATTTAAGTACTGGCAACATGTAAAATACTTTTGCTCCTTTTTGCTTCCAGAAGTCAGAAAATAGCTTATGGCACATGCCTGGAAGATAATTCTGTTGCATGTTGATGGCACATGGAGAAATAAACACCCTTAAGCTTACAGAACTGACTGCTTCACACTGAGCCACCTGGTAGTACCACAGTGAAGGCAGCGGTACATTTCCCACCTGTCCACAGAATTTTCTGTTCAGTTAGCTCTGTTCTTTTTTCTTTTAATTCCCTTCTCTTACACTCTCAGCTACTTACAAAGCTTAAACAGCCCTGTGTGGTGAGAATAGAGGTGCCTGTATTTCCTTGTTTGATAGAGCTATGGGCAGATTGCCCAGGCTGTGCAATGCAGGTGCTACATTCCACTGACTAATGAAGCCATGACAAAATATCCCAGGCCTTTCCACCCCAATGTCTACATTCCCCCCGTCAATGGAACCATAAGCAAATGGCCCATTCTGTTGTCCAGGTGACCAGCATTCCCCTTACTGATGGATTCACAGAACAAAGACCAAATTTCCTCTGTCCAGTTCCCCTAATCCAGGACGGTCTGGTCTTTTCAGTGGACACCAGTTTTATGAACCCTTTCTCCTTCATCCCAGTCCCCTGTGGAGCACACAGAGGTGGAGTGGTTTCTCAGAGCTCTGAGCACCTTGTCGTGTACCGGCACACACATCTTCCTCCCACATGGTTAGTTAATCAAAGAACAAGGCAGTGAACAGGATGGAATTGTTCTGCAGAGCCTGCTAAACTCTGTGATCTCAAAGCAGGGTTAAAACATAAGTACTGGTATATTAATAGTTAAAAGTCCTTGTGAAACTGTTTTAAGTTTACATAAAACAGGAAAACCAAGGGTAGAGCAGCCTATTCATTTACTGTTTTTTACAAGCTCTATTCTCACACTTAGCTCTCTTGTCTACGGCTTCTCTAATATATATGCCTAGTAAAAATGGTATCTTCTTTCAGGGTAGCTCTCCAGAGGATACCGAACAGATCAGTGGCTTCAGAACATAAATGCCAGAGGTACTTTACTCCAGGACAAGATATCTGGAAAAAGGTAATCAATATGTCATTAGCTTCTTCAAGATCTGTACTGGTCCTGCCAGAGACCTCCTTATACAAGGCTGGGCAAGGGGCTGCATATCTCTGTGCCCCAGTACTCCCAGTTGTGAACAGATATGGATCTCTTCACAGGAGACAGAGAAGAAGGGTGAATGAGGTGAAGAACAAAAATTTTTACTAGGCCTCTCTGAAGGAAATGACTAGGTAATGGCCAAAGTGTTTCCTTTTACTCTATGATTCTGGCATTATACCTCTGCTTGATGACAATAGTCTTGCACTATGCTGTGTTAACTGTGAAGGAAATCTTGTGGATTGTATTGCTCTACTGGAAACCTATTTTGTATAGAGTGTTCTAAGTTTAAAGAGATGGATTCATGTTTTGGGATCTCCAGTCAATTATCCTTCCTCCCCATGTCTTAACTGACATCTTGACAGCACTGAGTTCTTTAGGTAAAAGAACAGCTGTTGGGTGCTCTTCTCTCAGCATAGGGCCATTTGCTTTCACAAAGCTGTATTGTTTTTTGTTGCTTTGCTTGACAGCTTGGAAAAAGGTTGGATTCCCTGTGGGTTTATCATTTTGCAAATATTTTCATTTCTGGCCTTGCATCTCTTGAGGGGAGTTGCTTTGCCATTTTCCATATCCCCTTAGAACTCTGAAAAATATTTGTGAGTAGACATGTTAATAGCTTGGATGTCCCATAGGTATTGTGGCATCCTTTTAAGAAAAAAAAAAAAAAACCAACAAAAAAACAAACCAGTATTCCATTCCAGTTGAGGCGCAAGAGTTTGCTTGTATGATTAATTCATGACACATTTCTGTCTGAATAAGTTTGGTAGTGAGACTTGATTTGTTTGTCCACATCTCTCCCAAGGCAAGGTTTGTTAAGTGTTAGAGATCTGATTTGGGTGACATAACACTAGTGAAGTCTTTTGGGAGTGGCATTTATATGTTCTTGGATTCAACAACCACTATGGTGGTTGAAGGCCTTCCTTAACTTTGTAAACATCAAAGATACTGAGGACTTCCTTAAACAAAGACATTTTGTATCAGCAGAGTCAAATCAGGTATATTGTGCCAATATAAGTAGGTTTAGCTGAGCTTGATTTTACACAGAGGTAGCACAGTTTTATTTTGTATTTAAATCAGTTTAGCAGCAGTATGTCATATATGCATAAAGCTGGAAAATGGAAATTTCATCTCTCTTCCCTTCTGGAGGACATATTCTCCTTGAAATATTGGTTGGTAAAATCCTTGAGCACAAGGAAGAGTATAATCATCATCTCTTGGCTCATTTTTAATATTTGATTGGATATTTCTTCTCACATTAAAGTGCCAATCATTAGGTCTTCCTTAACATATGTGTTGCCCTGCTGTCAAGAGCAATATGTTACAATCCATAGGTTATATTTCTTAGCTTACTACGTGTATTGACTCAAATAATTGTAGAGTGGGATGAATTTTTAAAAGAGATCTGGTATCTCACCTTACATGCCCTGAATTATTTTTCCATAAATGCATAATTTACCTAAAATAAACCCCCAAACCAAATTACTAAACTTTTTTTTCTGTACTAAAAATATGTGATTATATTTTAAATTAATGTATTTGTGTTTATGGTTCCCTAAGAAAAAATGAATCCTAAATTAGCAGAAAGATTAGTGATGATTGCATATATGGGTTAATAATTTTATACAGCATAGGGAACAACTTAATTTCTGTAAAAAAAGGAAGAGATGTCACTGTGACCAAAATACAGAGTTGGAATGTGACTATTTGTTCAAAGCCCCAGCACAATCGCTCAGTATAATGTTCAGCAAGTAATTTAAGCCTTATGCTGTTCTGGATTGCCAGTGAATTCAGTAGGAAAAGTCTGTTGTATGTCCTGCTTACTGTTTAAAAAATATGATACAGGTATTCAAGTACTTCATGGAATGGGAGGAACATTAATAAATTTATACCTGTAAAATTCTCTGAGAATCCTTAGGGATGGATGTTCAATGCATGCAATTTTAATAATAATAGGTAGAAGATAAGAGGTTAGCCGTCTCTAATATTTCTGCATGAATGTTTTAAAGAGTAGATTAGAAATGGATCTAAGTATGGGTGAAATCCTAGAGCCTTCTGCTGTGGGAAGAGACAATCCATCTTTCACTCTGTTATTTGTTCCTTTTTTCTTAGTTCACAAGGTTTGTGTTTCTGAACCTATGAAGCAGATTCTTTCTGTACAGATAGAAATCTGACTTCTGCATTTTGCAGAAAGGCAGAAATAAAATTAATTTTTCATTTCCCAGAGATACTATGCAAATTTATATTTTCCATCATATTAACGTAAAAGACATGAAGAGAGTATAATAAACAAATGTGTTCTTATAATTAAGATGCAAGCTCCAAAAAGAGCTTCCCACCATGTTCACTGTAAAGCTATTTCTCATCTAGTTAAATCTCTATCTGGTACCAAGCTCTGTTCTTTTTTTCCTGTAACAGACTGCTCTAAATTTCTTCCAGTCATTTCTCTAAACACTGGTGAGCAGCTTTCATCAAAGTAGCTTACGCAGAGAAGAAAATCTGTCGGTGATTAAGCCTGCTAAGGGACACCCTAGAAATCTTTCTGCTTCCCTTGAACTGGGTGGAAGTTGGGGGTGTTCAGCACCTCTATAATCTCAACCCTTTGTGGAAATACATCCTAGATCCTGAGTTTCCCTTATAATCAGGAGCTGACACTGGAGCTGAATGCTGAGTAGGACATTCATGCTTATCTGCATATCTGCTATCAAGCGCATATTTGTCATTCTCATTTTCAAAAGTCAATCAGCTGCGCCTCAAAAAGATGGTTGCTACCCTGTCCTCTCCTGACCTTTCTAAGAGTAAGGAAGTTTGGAGAATGCTGTTAAGTGTGCAAAGCTAAAAAAGGTAGCCACTGTTAGAGGATTGGTTTTGCTGTACACAAGTTGGCACAGCTTCACAGGGGGTGATGTTTTATCACCAGTCAAGAGACCATCTTCATTCCGGAGACAGTGTCTCAGATTTTTGATTTCTTGCCATATGTTTTGCTTCTCCATTCTTGATGCAGATAATTCTGTTTTCTTAACCTGATCTTCCAGCCAGTATTAGTCAGAAAAGATGTGGACACAACAAAGGTTCCCCCTTGCAAGCTCATAGCCTAAGGTCAAGGAATATGAGTCATAAATGGAGAGCAGTGCCAATGCCTGGCCTCCTCCAAAAAAAAAGAAGATCCTTGTGCAGAACAAGAATTTGATATTACAAATCATCCTTAAGCTATGTTGATCATGTTGCACACAATCAGGTTAATGAGGTCAGAAATGTCTGTGTGCTTATATTAGGCCCATCAGAAGGAAGCTGCAATAAAAACTCTCATCAGTCCTAAATACTCTTCATTAAGAGATTTTCATGTGAGTTGATTTTGTTCATAAAGGAATAGTAAACAGTTGTCTCAGAATTTTTCCTACTCAGTGGCAAATATCCTCTGATTTATCTGATGTAACCCCCTGACTAAAATGAATTGTTCCATCTTGTGGCACAGTAGTCTGTACGGAATAGTCTCTTTCCTGTTTTGAAATACTGTTTGGAGCACAAAGAAAGTCTAGCTATTCTCTTAGCTATTAGAAGGTCTATTCTGACAATTCACGGAATAGTGGTTTG